CACTTTGTTCTAACTGAAATGATCTGGACCGTGATAATGCCAAAGACTGTTGGCATGCACCACCTTTGGCTTACCTCGTCGACCACATTTTATTCGGAAAGTCACGTCTGAGAAATGATCCACTATGTCATATGGGCCTTCCCATGGAGAAGACAACTTAGGAGACTTCCCTTTGGTCTTCCTGGGATTATACAACCACACCTTGTCTTCTGGTACAAAGCTGACTTCAGTAGATCTCTTATCATAAGATTGCTTCATGGAATCAGCAGACGTTTTCAAGTTTGAATGCACTTGATGGTGAATATCATCCATCCTTTCTGATAACACTTTCATGAACTGTGACACATTTTCAGGCAACTCTTCGTAAGGTGGGCATCCTGTTATCAGATCCACTGGCAACTGAAGTTCCCGACCAAACATCAGTGTTGCTGGAGTGTATCCAGTGACTTCATGCTCTGCTGTTTTATAGGCCATCAACAGTTGAGGGAGTAAGACATCCCAGTCATCTTGGCAGCTGTTACAAAACATTGTCAATTCCTGTCCCAATGTCCAGTTGTACTTTTCTACCATCCCATCAGACTGTGGGTGAAGTGGCGTTATCCTGGTCTTTCATATGCCAAACAACTTCCAGCATTCATGGAACACAGCTGATTGAAAGTTACGACCTTGATCTGAATGCAGTTCATATGGCGTACCAAACCTGAAGAAGAAATCACTAATAGCCGAAGCTACAGTTGTAGCTTCCTGATTTGGTATTGCATATGCCTCAGGCCACTTGGTGAAATAATCCATCACCACACAAATGTACTTGTTTCCGGCACGAGTTTGGGGCAAAGGACCAGCAATGTCAATGGCTACTCTTTCCATTGATTCGCCAACTTGATATAACTTCATTGGAGCACGTCCCTTATGCTTGGGCCCCCTTTTAGCACAACATGTACTGCAGGTCCTGCACCATTCTTCCACATCTTGCCTCATACCTATCCAGTAAAATCTATGCCATAGGTGACTCAGTGTCTTCTTAACTCCAAGATGTCCTCCTGTTAAACTATCATGGGATTGATGCAGCACAACTTCCCGTAACTTTCTCAGGAATAACTGTTTGCCAGGTCATCACTTTCCCATCTGCAGTTTCTCATCTCCGGACAAGAACACCATCTTCAAGCTTCAACTGGTCCCATTGTGCCCAATAGTTCTTTGTCACAGGGCTTAAGCTAGACACCTTCTCCCAAGCAGGTCACAAAACACTTGCTTGTAGAAAATCAGTTATTGGCTTCAAATATTGGTTTTTCTCCTGTTCTGCTTTAATATCTATACTTGGTTCCACTTCACCATCATCAACTCCTTCAGTCACTTTGACTTCAGCTTGATGGCACCTAGTTAGTTCAACCTCTCTTTTGTAGCAATGTCTGCAGTCATTTTTGCAGGGTCTTCGGCTCAGTCCATCGGCATTTCCATGAGATTTTCCTTCTCTATATTCAATATCATAGTTATACTGGTCTATCTTTCCGATCCAACGTGCCAGTCATCCTTCTGAGTTTTTTAATGATCTTAACTAGTGGTCTGTCCTGATGGTAAACCTGGCACCATAGAGATAAGAATGGAAATATGTCAGACTTTTTACTATAGCAGTGAATTCCCTCCATGTTACACAGTAGTTCCTCTCTGGTCTACTCAGGACCTTACTGAAGTAGGCCACCACATGTTCGTTTTCGCCCACTTTCTGAGACAACACTCCTCCAGTTCTGACACTACTAGCATCACAATCCAATATTTACGACAGTGAGGAATTTGGAAGCTTTAAAAGTGGAGATGAGGCCAATTTTTCTTTCAATGTCTTAAAAGCATGCTGGCAAGAAACTGTCCATTTGAACTTTTGGCCTTTTTTTGTCAAATCATGTAGTGGAGCAGCTATAGTTGAAAGTCCTCCACAAACTTCCGGTAATAGGTACAGAGTCCCAAGAAACTTCTTAACTCTCCCACATTGTCTGGTGTTGGCCAATCATGCACTGCTTTCACTTTATCAGTATCAGTTTGCACACCATGATCACTTACAATGTGACCCAAGTAAAGTACTTCTTTTTGGAACAAGTGGCATTTCTTGGGATGGAGTTTGAGGTTTGCTGTTTTCCAATGCTTGAATACTTCCTATAGCTGGGACATTTCCTCATCAAACGTTGTTGCAAACAGAATGACATCATCCAGGTACACCATGGCTATCCTCCATTGTAGGCCTTCCAGTACTCTTTCTATCAGCCTCTCAAATGTTGCTGGAGCATTGCTAAGCCCGAATGGCATCACACAGTATTGCCAGAGACCTTGGCCATAACTAAAACTGATTACTACCTTGGCAAAGGGTGGCACAATTTCCTTGACCCAAAGGTGCATCAGAAAGTTTCTTAATGCATTTTTATATTTTATGCTGATCTACAATCAACATTAGTGTCATTGTCCCAAATAAAATAGTGCAATAAATCAATTTTCAAAATTCAATCAGAACACTTAAAATAAAGATACCTCTCCTCACAAATTAGCTATTAAAATTAAAGGATTGGACTGAGGACCTTCCATCATGAACAATTTCTCCTCCATTGTAACAACGTTTGACAAAGAATTAGTTTAAGTCCTCCCCCCATCCCCCCAGACACACAAACTCCTTGCTATATAAATAGCTTCTAGATGTTAGGATAAATCTCAGAATTTTATTTTTTATCTTAATTTTCTAATCTAGCTGAACAACATTGTGAGACATTATTACCATTATCATTGAAAAAGATAAATTGAGGTAATCTGCTTGATCACTATAAAGGAGGCTACTGTACACGTTATAAATATAAAACTTATTTATAACGTGTACAGTTACCTTCGTTATACAACAGTTAAAATATATATTTATAATGTGTACAGTAACCTTCGTTATACAACAGTTAAAATGTATATTTATAATGTGTACAGTAACCACCATTATACAACAGTTAAAATATATATTTATAATGTGTACAGTAACCTTCGTTATACAACAGTTAAAACGTATTTTATAATGTGTACAGTAACCTTTGTTATACAACAGTTAAAACATATTTTATAATGTGTACAGTAACCTTTGTTATACAACAGTTAAAACTTATATTATAATGTGTACAGTAACTTTCGTTATACAACAGTTAAAACGTATATTTATAATATGTACAGTAACCTTCGTTATACAACAGTTAAAACGTATATTTATAATGTGTACAGTAACCACCGTTATACAACAGTTAAAACGTATATTTATAATGTGTACAGTAACCTTCGTTATACAACAGTTAAAACGTATATTTATAATGTGTACAGTAACCTTCGTTATACAACAGTTAAAACATATATTTATAATGTTTACAGTAACCACTGTTTTACAACAGTTAAAACGTATATTTATAACGTGTATAGTAACCTCTTGTGACTAGTTTACATAATAAGTAGTGTTACAATAATTATTCATTTTAATTTCAACTATATTGACAAGACTTAAATTAAACCATTGTTAGACCAAACTTTTATAACTCAATATCTGGAATTAAGTATATTTTAGTTGAACTTGTCTAAGGTAGCTTTTGTACTTGTTTGTTTCATAATCTGTTTATAATTATATAGTTCATATTCAGTGAATTACATTCACAACATAATTGCATTGTGTGTGTTTTGTTTTAGCTCATTACATTTCATGTAGCAAAATAATTTAACACTATTTTCACGATTCTAAGTATTTTGATCCCTTACTAATTAGCCAGGTACAAGTAATCCTAAAGTGATGCTACAGGTTGTGGAGTTAACTACGAAACCTGGTGTTCCAGAAAACATAACAATTCCTGAAGAGATGAAGGATAAGTAAGTCTACCATTTATGTTAACTTTACAAATCTGTTCTCTGTGTGTGTGTGAGGTGTATTAGAGAAATGAACATTTTTTGTATGAACAGAAAAATAATTTTGCTTTTATCGATCACCAAAACAAAAGGTGTAGATACTTATATTTCAGTAATTCTCAGTATCTAAAGTTGTGTTGTTATTAAGTTTATCACAAAGTTATGTTCACTTATTCTGTTGATCTACACAGCAGATATCAAACAGTATTAATGTAACCATGGACAGAAGATATATGAAAAGATACTATTGTTTGAGGTCAAGAAAAATGATGTATGTTAAATTGAAAGAAAAATTTTCTTTAGAAAAAAGTATGCATGATTTTAACCAGTAAGATATACTGTGAATTAAGACAGTGTCATGCTCTACATTAACTGGAAAAGATAGTTAATGAGATAAATGAGTATGGGGATGTTGTGGTATTATCTTGAAAAGCATTATGTAATCAAAGTTGATAGATGTTGTGATATTAACCTCAAAGACATTGTGTAATGAAGGAAAGTAGATATTGTGATGTTATTAACCTGAAATTCTGTGTAACAAAACATGATAGATGGTGTAATGATATTTGTAAATACTGTGTGTAATGAAGAAAGGTCGATGCTGTGATGTTAACCTGAAAGACTGTATAATAAAAGAAGATAAATGCTGTAATGTTAACCTGAAAGATTGTGAGACAAAGGAAGATAGATGGTGTGATGTTATTCTGAAGGACTATGTGTGATGGAGGAAGGTAAATGGTGTAATGTTATCCTGAAAGACCGTGCAATAAAGGAAGATAAATGGTGTGATGTTATTCTAAAATACTGTGAGATGAAGAAAGGTAGATGGTGTGATGTTATTCTAAAATACTGTGAGATGAAGGAAGGTAGATATTGTGATGTTAACTGTGTAAGTGTGCAGTGGATGACAGTTGTGTTACTGGTTAACTTTTTGTGTCAGAGAATATCTTTCATGATAAGATATTCATTAAGAGTTGTAATAGACTATATAAAGTTTTGTTTTTCATAGGGATCATTATATCACCCAAGTTACATGGATTGATAACAATCATTTAGCAGTGGTGTGGCTATGCAGATCACAGAATTATTCTATAATCAGTGTATGTGATAGAGTTAATAATAGCTGGCTATGTGTAAAGGTAAGATACTTATCCTATTTAAAATGATAATTTCATTACTAAGTATTGAAGAATATTTTATTTTTGAGAAAGTTTGTTTATTCAGTTTTGGCTTAAGATCCTTGTATTTAAATTTATAACTTGTAGATCATGTGATAATACATTGGCTATGTTAATATTTCAGACATTCAAATATGTCTTTGTTCACCAGAGCTCAAACATTTGTCTATTTCTCTGTTTTCTTGTTATTTTAATCTTATGAGCAACTAGTCAAATGTATGTCTCTTTCCTTAAATTTGTCTCTATTTATGATTCTTTGGTATGGACAAATATTTCTGTCCCCTAGGTTTTTAAAAATGTCTGGTTTCAGTTCTCAAGATAATTAACCTTTCAACCAAATATGTTTCAGTTTCCTAGGTGTGTTACTATTGGAATCAGTCTAATATCTCTCTTTTTTTTGGTGTATGTTATGTTTTAATCAGTAGAATATCTTTTATTTCTCTCATTATGTTGACATCCAAAAAAGTTAAGTGTGTTTCAATTTCCTAATTGTATTAATATTTTACACAGTCAAACATGCTTGTTAGGCATCTAGTTTTTGAAGTGCTAAAATATGCTTTTGTTCCCTGATAATGTTGATATCTTAAACACTAAAATGTGTGATAATCTTGATTAAGTTTATGATTAAACCAGTCAAACACTTCTCAGTGTACTCGTAAGCTGAGAGCTAGACATGTTTTGGTTCCTCTATGTGGCAGAACATATTGGTTGTATCTTTAAAAAATTGCATGTTTCTTAAGTTTTAGTCACCATGATCCTCCAGACTTCTAGAATTATATATATTGTTATGACAGCGGAAGTCACGTGATGCTAGTAACACGTCATGAGATTCTAGAAAAATCATGTCCGTTCGTGAAGCCTCGAGTGTTCTCCAGACACCTTCTATTTCATATATATAAGATCGGCGAGAAGTGATTGTATAGATATGAATAATTGCAGATTGAAGAGCTAGAGATGGACAATTGAGTCAAGTGCGGTAGTTAAGTGTGAGAATCGTTCGTTGTGAATTATAGCATGTGTTTAAGTTAAAGTGACTGTGGAAATTAAGTGTATTGCAAAGTTGAATTGAGAAATAATAAACT